ATGGAAAAAATGCTGCAGTTGTTACAACCAGAAATAATGATAATTTTCGCCCATTAATACATTTGATAATCGTAAGATGGTCATACCTTATAGCCATAGCCGTTAAGATATGCCAACCTTATAGTTATCACAATCGTATTACAATTTTCATAACCAAAAAATGTGTTGATAGGGATGACTTTTGATCGTAACATCTTTTTCGTGAACTATCGTGAAATATTGAAACGATGAATGTTCGACAGGCTATTTTCGAATCCTAAATTGCCAAGAACTTTGACCAATTTTGCCATGTATCTGAAAGACGACAAGAATAATGGCAATAATGCTGTTATCTGCCGTCCCATGTGAATATTTCCCACACTGTCTTATCTGCTTATATCGTGATTGATATCATGTCGGCACATGTATAATTACATACGTAATTAAGCAATTATCATGTCAGACACGCTTATTCACTCCGTTTTGTAATAACGTTGTTAAGTCAGAAAGAATCTCCGTTTGTTATTCTCGCTCTTTACATTAAATTTGCAGAAGAAGTCACTGCGAATAGCAGAACGCAGACTTTTCTACTGTTTTCCCTACGCAAATAGGCACAACCTCTTTAGGAAAACAGGAATTGAGATAGGAAAGTAAAGCGGAGATGTCTTTTAAGAGTCTCACAGCTGAAAACTTTTCCGCGGTATATAACCCGAACTCTCTTATATTTTATTACTTCGAAACTAATTTCACTAATTGAACATTAAATCGTATTATGCATGATATGCTAGAAATGTCATACATATAATTAGTTTACTTTTGGATCGAATATTAAAGCCAAACTATCATGCATGATACATATAGATCAGCAGCTTCCATTATAACATGTTCCCCCCCCCTCTCTCTCTCTCTCTCTCTCTCTATAGATGTTTATGCGTGTGTATGTACGTATTATACTTGATGTGTATATGCAGACACGGATCATTAGCTGACGTTAAGCGAATATACATGTAGAACCATATAACCATCGAATACTCCAGGGAAATGCCCATATGGGCAGATGTTTATGTAGACATTACGAATACGACAATAGGATAACTACTCGCAGTTACGTGCATGCATGTGTATCATTTTTCTCTTTACATGAGTAAACATTTAAGGTTTTAGGTTAATTAATATTTGTTTGCGATTGGTCCGTGAATCGATATTGAATCGCACATTTGCGAGCTTTGTGTGCGCACATAGTTATGCATTATATGATAATGATTATCGTTTACTAATATATCTGAAATAGATAATAGTACTTCTGTTTCTGATATGCAGAAACAGCGAATTCATGTGACTGCAGTTTAAAATATTTGTATTATTTATTTCTCTCGTACACGTCGCGCGCTGTAAATGTGAAAATAAATACAATAGATTTTACTTAAACCTGATCTATATAGCACGCAGGCCGCAAATAACGTATTTCAGATTATAGTATAGGCCGCAATACGTAGGATCGCAGAATGCAGGATGCGAAAGTTGAAGTTCATCCAACTTCCTGTATCCTGCGTACTGCATCCTGCAACCTATTATAATTAGATTAGTTTCTAGTCTTGCGACCTGCGACTCGCGTTCTCTGTGTCTTATGTAAATCGGACTGTAAATAACATATGAGAGAGAGAGAGAGAGAGAGAGAGAGAGAGAGAGAGAGAGAGAGAGAGGGAGAGGGAGAGGGAGAGGGAGAGAGAGAGAGAGAGAGAGAGAGAGAGAGAGAGAGAGAGCAAGATTTAGGTATATGAATTTGAAATCTGAAATATTAAATCGACTAACACAAGACAGATATTTGTGGATGTACATTATATTTCCGATGTTTATAGTCCATGCGCGTATGATGCACGCATGACGAATATCATTAGTCGACGTTAAGCGCAAATATACGCATATGTATCTGAATAAATTGTACTACCGGGTATCAATTTTGGCGATGTATGCAAACGACGTGCGCAGTTAAACACTAGCGAGAGGAAACACGCACGTGATGATTCCCAGGCGCGATAGATTTCCGCGTGACGTGGTTTTGTGCGCCTTTCGAACGGAAGAAAATTATACAATGCGTCTCTTCCCTGCAGCGAGAAAGTGCGCGTATAGAATTTTAACATTCGTCAATTTATTAAACAGAATTATTACAAATAAAAAATGTAATTGTCTCACACTTCAAAAGCGAAAGAAACATAATTATCTTAAAGTTTCAAAGTTGCATGTTTGGGCTTGAAAAATACGTTTTCATGGAAATCGCAAGCCGATGTAATGGAAAAATAGAAATACATCGTGCAGAATGCGTCAAACTTAAGTTAATCGCTGCCGCAAATCGTGCAACCACTGTATACGGTTTGAGAGACAAGAAAAGTCCAAAAATGTTAATTCACTTTCACAACAGTAACACGTTTTGGCGTAGCAATTTGTCCCGTGTCCTGGAAAATGCAGGGGCATAAACTTTGTAATTTAGTTACGTTTTCTCGTTCACGCGCAACGCTCGCGTGGCGCATGCAAATATTATTACTCGCGTCGATCCAACGTCGAGTATCAATTCTGGAGGTACAAATGAGAGTGATAGAGAGAAAAAGAAGTGCATAATTTTTCGAAGAGATCACCCTTCCGAAATAATGAGATCAATTTTATATCGCATTACGATTAAACATTACTTTTCCCTCCAAACAATGTTGATTATTTTACGTTTGGGTCATCCGGTACCGACTAATTTCGAAGCTTGCGATTGTATTTTCATCTATATTCCATAAATTTGAATTCTGTGATTACATTTTAGCCGGCTGGACTTTAATATTACCAAATGAATTTGAAAATATATCTCTTATCTCTCACTCAGATATTTATGTATACATACGCACATATAGTATACAATATACGAAAGCAATCTGACGAAAGTACATATACTTGCGTACTCACGAAGTATTCTAGACAGCATAGATCTATTTGTCAATGCTACATTTGTATGCGTTGTATGTATCAACGATAGCTTCCGGAATATACGCTCCTTGGTCTGTGACCGCACGTCATAAATCTCAGCTGAGACTGTTAAAGCGAACGAATTAGGAAAAACAGTTATTAAACGAAGCGGTAGCGCGGATCGCATCGGGTATATCGCGTCTCTCCACCGATACACTTTATCATCGACGATTGGAATAAAAATGAAAATAAAAGCGCCAGTTATGGGACACGATAGTACAGACGCGCACGCGATATGTACGGTGTTGTTCGGAAATCGATTAACCCATATACGCCAGGAAAATATGCCTCACTCATAGATGCCGAATGTTCGTGTGAATCGTGCTCTCGTGTCGCAGATCATTTTGTAACGTTGTTACACAAGGGATTGTGCGCTCGCTAGTGCAGCGTAGTAATCGTTGTAGGGAGAGAAGGCGAGAGAGAGCGAGAGAGGAAGAGAGAGAGAGAGAGAGAGAGAGAGAGAGAGAGAGAATGTGATTGATATTGCGTTGGATGTGTAATGTGCAATAAAGCGGTAAAGAGATCGAATACCCCGCGGCTCTCGATAATAGTTTAAGCTCGCGCCTTTGTCAATTTTGCATTAAGTTGGGTTAATCCGTTCGTTACGCCGCTGTTTCGAGGGGGATCAAAGGGGAATGGGCTTGTAACGAAAATCAAAGCTATGCGACGTGATGCAAAATTCAATCGGATTATAGGATGGACACATTACCTACAGCGCGCGGAATGCGTAAGATGAAGTTACGCTCATTCATGTGCGAGCGTGCGTAATGCAATTGCGTTATTCGAGGAAATTCATGTTCTTTCCTCTCGCGCTCGTTCTTTTATCTTGATTTATTACGCTGGATGTCGTGTTTGTCTCTTGATATTAAAAAATTTGTTGATTAGTTATAGTGAGTAGAAGTGATCCTTATTTAAGTTATATAAATTTTTTTTTTCTTGTAGTATCTCAACTTGCGTCTATTTAAGACTCTTATACTGAGTGTATATATCTTACTTTTTTCTCTATTCTTACTATTTTGAAAAATTTTGTCATTATAGTTTTTCGGGATTTTTATAATATATTATTTTTAAAATATTTTTTATATTTGATAAGCGCTATTTGATAAGGGAATTGTATGTCCGTGTCAAATAAATGGCGATTCAGTTCAATCTCTCTCTCTCTCTCTGTCTTCACACAGCAAATTTATCCATAAAATATATATAGAAATAAACTTGTGAAGTTTTCTCCATCACATACTCGATGCGAAATCGAAAGATGCTTAAATCAATCATTCGATTAAAAGTAATTGTTCCTGTAGACTAGTGCCAAGTTCAGGTATATTCAGTATAATCACAAATAAGTATAGCGAAATAAACAAGACGTGAGTGTAGCATTATGTGCGACTACGCTTCTTCTAACAATCTTCTCGTTTCAAACGACTTTCCCTCACAGTCCTTGCCAGGACGCCAAGCCAGCATTGTTCTCGTCACGTTGGCGTATATTTACTGTAATCAGACCTTAATTGGAAACCGGCTGCTCCGTGCTTTCGAAGACAAGACGCTTCCTTCCGGTAGAACTCACATCAAGATTACTCAGTATGCGCGAAATTCGCAAACACACGCGAGATGTTTGAGAGGAGTCAATCAATCGGTCTCTCCTACCACGTGGAAGTTTCATTCGCTCGCTTGTCAAAATCCCGAATATAGTCACGATTACGAGTATACAACTCAGGCGTATTAAGGAAATCCGTGAACTCGACAATAGACAAAGGGAATAAATGTAATGGAATGCAGAGATGGAATTGATTGGTACTAAAACATTATTTTATTTATGAATATATTGTAGAAGGGATTTTTATTAAATTTTTATTAAATATAGTTTTATTTCATAATTGGATGTTTACTTCCTATTATAATTATAATTAATGAATAGCACTGAAAGAAAAAAATAGTCTCATTGGATTACATGGTAATTCTGATTCGTCTATTTTCAATCAGAAATTTTTTTCAGTACACTTTCGAATTTTCTTGCTAATTATATGTAAAGAAGCGAGTTGTATTAACGCATATAATATAATGGCAATTATCTCTGACCTATCGATATATTTGTCGTTGATTACATGTTACGATTTCATAAGAATGCGATTGATTTCGATTAATAATTATGATGCGATCATAGAAGGACCACTAAAATGTCGCGATAGATTGTCAAATCGACAACTCTCATATTGGGAAAAATGTGATCGTGTCACTGCCTACGTCATGTATGGCCAGTCATGTTGTCGCAGTTGCATCGTTACCGCCAATCCTCTTGTCATTGTGATGCTCATATCGCTCGTTAATTGCGTGATCAATGATGCTGTTGATATTATACCTCCATATTACTTCTCGATTTGCGTTTCTACTGTGAGGCAAGCATAGAGTCAATTATATAAATACACAATTAGACACATAATAATCTATTTCTTTCTAACGCGATACAAACAATAAAATATAAAAAAACATTTAGAACATTGAGTTGTTCAATGTTTTAATATAAGTTTGTTTAAAACTTAGCTTGCGAGCTAAACGCTTTCTTTTGTCCATCATTTCATTGAGCAAGCTCAAAAGAAAAAAGAACAAACACTAAAATTCTATTTAACAAAGAGAAAGAATGATTTTGATGAAGTATCTAAAGATTTAGGATGCACAGATTTAAAAATAATTTTGTTTGGCATAAAAATAATTATGTAGGACGCTTAAACTGATTGCTGAAAACTTAAAAAGCAGTTTTTGCAGTATTATCATCAGTGTTTAAACATTCTATGTAATTATTTTGATAGTTTAATAAAATTATTTTCAGATTTGTATTTAGCTAAATTTTTAGATATTTCAGCAAAACCATTTTTTCAATATAGTGGCTATGTCTTTTTTTATTCTCCGTTTATTCGATGTTCGTTCAACGAGCTGTATTAGAAAGATGGAAGTGTGTAGCACTTTCATCACAAATTAAGTTTTGAACAGGCTAATTTTAATATCGGCGAGATTGAAAATATTATATATTGCATCTATGATAACATTATAATTCCAAATTCCAAATCATTGGTGTGCATTAATTTGAAGTTTCTAAGCTCAAAACAACTTTTAACTAGCAATTTAGCTACAGGCTGTAACGAGTTGAAGCAATATTGTCTACCTCCAGGAATAAGTGCGCGTGAATCGCTTTTGTTATTTTATCAAACTCTACTGACGTAATATTCGAGAAGGAGAAAAATTCTATAAACGTGAAATCTCTTCCGTTCCTGCGATAGATATCGCCGAATTGAAAATATCTACTTATTTTTCTTTCGTTCCCTGACGCTTCGCATGAAGACGCAACGACGGCAATGTAAATGGTGTATTGTCACGAGCACCGACGCGAATGATATTTAAAATCACGGGACATGACGTGGTCGTCGCCGTTTATTCAGTCCGTTCCTTTTTAACAGGCGACGTTCGACACCGTCGCCGCTTGACAGATGCCGACCATTACTTTTGACATGTTTCTATACGTACGCCACCCGGCGTAACCTTTCAAGGTTTCATCACATCATTTATGAATCCTTTCACGAATCGCGCGAGAAAAGTTTTCGCTTCCACCCCCGTAAAATCGTCCTAGCAAAGTACATTTCAAATCTTATTGCCGTACCACCGATATTTTCGGCATTTATTCAATAGACACTATCGAACGCACCAACAAGCTCGATAAAGGTTTGTCTACTCTTGATATTGATAAATTGCGGTTGCAACCATTTGTCAACTCTTATGGTTATTCCTAGCATTACAACCTCGATCTATTGAGCAATATTTTGTATAAAGAATCCCGCTGAATAGTAGTTTTTCCGACACTGCTGTGTAAAAAATGATTCCGCATGGGGCACATCTCTCGTGCGGAATTGCCAGAGTTTCGCGTTATTGTTTAAATATTTATAAAACGCAAATGTAATATATTCATAAATAGCGCGACTATGCGCCTATTATATATTTTGAGTTATTATTTTGAATTTATAAACTCAAACAAGTCCAGTCGCTCTATTGTTGAGAATCGATAAACGTGAAACAGTGCATCTCAATGGAAGATGCGAGAATAAATCTTCAATGAATAATGTTCATTCATGCGAAAAACGAACTATTGAAAGGAATTTAATAACACCATCATTGAAACGCGAGCAAGGAAAAGACGTAACCTCGCAAATGAGGAAATGAAGATAATAAACGTGTGAAAACTATTTTCTAATGCGAGCGTTCTCGTCGGATTCGAAGTGGAAATTTTACGAGCTCTTAAAATAAGCGACGCTCACCTTCTACTTCTTTCACTTTGCGTCTTCACGAAATAATGGTATCTCTGTAGCAGTATATTCGGGATAATTCTCTGTTAATGCTGCAGTAGCTATATCGTCTTCTGTACTGCACATGAAACCTTATTAGCGCTAATTGGTAATCGCGTTGCGAGAATAATCATTTTTATCGCGTATACATGAACAGAGAAAACACAATTAGAGAGGAATTTAATCATCCACGCGTCATACCTATCCGTTTTTAAAGCGGCAGGATCGGAGAAATCTCTTCGTAATTCATTTCACGAAGCACCTGGTGTAATCGATGAATACCCTTATTTCTGCGTGAATACTCGATACGCTCGAGTTTTTCAATAATGGAGAAGCATCTTTTATATATTATTTTCAACTGCTTATACCAATGTTTTTATTTAGCATTCTTCCATTAGCTCTTTCACGACATGCATTTTCATCCTCTGCAAGCGCTGTTTGCTGTAACACGTTTCTGACACGAAATTTTTTTTTCTATTGTTAATTTATTTTCCAACGATTTTACTTTGTCTAGACAGTCTTGATAAACCTTAATCCAATTACTCTTATCCAATTTCACTACTTATTTATGATTCTTTTTTAGTTAAGATCTTTCCGAATTTGCAGCTCTCTACAAATATTTTATAGATACTTAAACAAATCCTTGAGTCATATGTACATTAGATTTTCTCAAACATATTTTCTGTATCCTAGACATTTCATTAATTATTATTTTAACGATTCTCTACATCTTTTATTGAACTGAAGATCCCATTCAATCAGATTAGTCAGTGACCTAATTTACATCGTGCACTTGACACATGGCACTACAACTAATAATTTTTTATTAAATTATCTTAATTTTGGCGAACAAACGCGTGCAAACATATATACGAAGGATAAACCTAAAAACATTGCACATACAGACATGGAGCATTACTGAGCATTACTTAAGAGAATTGTGTATTATATTATAATAAGTGGTATGAAGTTATGCATTACTTTAATGGATATTACCAGAGCATTAACGGGTATTATTAGACCATTAATGACTGTTATTAGGGCATTAATGGATATAAAAATTGGGCATTATTGAACATTAGTAGATATTGGTATACACAATTTTAATCAGCGTTTTATCTCTCACCCAGAGAAAGATTTTTTCGATTCAAAGAAATGTTTCTTTGCTAAAGAAAAAATTTCTTTGGTTTAAACATTTTTTTTATAATAAATAAAAAAAAATTATTTGATATTAAAAAGTAATGTTTAAATTGAAGAAATAACGTTCAAGTAAAAATTGTTTTTTTAACCGCATAGTAAAGAAATATTTTCTTGAATTGAAAAATCTTTCTCTGACTGCTCGCATATACATGACAGTTATTTAATTAATCATTTTGATGTATATTGTATCAATTTAGTATATCATTCTTTAAATACATTACTCAAATTAAGGTAATTTAATAGAAAGTTACTAATTAATACATGTATCGAGTACTCGGTGTAAAAAGAATTATCCTGTTTCTCGTTAGCTGCTTCTAACACACGAACCTTCCACTAATCTATAAACTTGCTTATATCATCATTGAATAAAGTTCGGACACAAGACAATAATGTTCTACCCCTTTTCAATAATTATGGTGTGTCTCGTTTGTAACAGCATGTCGTAATAACCTGTTTTCCCTCGTCCTAGGAACCCGACAGACTCTCTAGCACGGATTATGCAACGATAATCCACGCTGAAAAGCCGACACTGCTGCGGCACTCGAGTTAATAGAAAACCGCACAACTCTCTGCGGTTGTCGCCACGTATGTACGTGCGTACGAAAACGAGCAAGTTCCGATGCAAGGCCCGCCGATGTCACGCGTACTACAGGAGAGAGCAAACACGATGGATGTTCATCATCGAGCGGGGAAATAATAACGCGAGCAATTTCTTTCTCGTTCAGATATGCGCAACAATTAAACACCAACGTCGTTCGAGTCCCTCATGAGGCGGCATTTCACCGTTTCGCGAAATGAGAATAATAACTGGCGACCGTAATAAAAAGCGATGAATGAATTTCGTATGTCGTATATAGCGGACAATAATTCGCGTGGCAGTGATGACGCGGTTATTACATTTATACGATAATCACGGGAAATGTAACATTTCGTGTGGACGACTGGAAAAATATTGTAGACTGAGACAAACATTATGGAATTAACGTCTAATTAAGCGATTGAAATCATAATGATTTAACAGGTGAAAGATTCGCAAATTTTATAAAGGCGAACTTCATTAACTACGCAGCACAAATTACATGATGCGAACTGTAAACGAAACAGTGTTTTCAAAGTATACAGACGCATCTAATTGGCAAAAGAACATGTAATTAATAGCAACGAGTTCGTTTCTGGAGAGTTACGCGCTGCTTCAAATTCAAGCAGTTGCGAATCCGCGCGCAGAATTTTCGAGTTCGAAGTTGAAACGGGGCTAACAATGGCTTTCATTAAAGCGCCCAAGTCGCGACTTCGTTGTTGGAATTCTCGTACCATCGTTGGTCGTTAATAAAATAACGTCGGATCACTATTCATTCACCATGGGATGAAGTAAAAAAATTAACCGCTGATCCAAATTCATTCACGTATATCATACGCGAGGCTAGAGTTTACAAAGTTCGAGCGAGAACAAGGAAACACGGCCGACCATGGGCTTACGCAACTTTTGCACCTATACAAACTTTATTAGCTCGAAAATCAATACAGGGAGAAAGGCAAGTTTGCGAGTGTCATCCGGTAGTGTGATCCCAGGACGACAATCTGTCTCGTAGGAAGACGCCAGTGACTCACGAATACATCGTCGACGTATCGCTATTCTATCCTACGTAAATCTCGTTTTCCGTAGGTGAATCCATTCCGGAAACTTGAAATGAATATGATGCCATCGATCTCCATTTCAGTAGCTCTATCTATTTACGCAATGTCTTGCACATAATTGTTTGAAACATGGGATGCAAAGAGAGTAACAGCAAAGAGTAACATGGAGAAATAGAATAATATAAACAGATTTTATGTAACTATTGTATATATGTGTGTAACTATATATGTAATAATTTAATTTTATAAATTTATATATATATATATAAAATAAAAAGAAGACAATAATAAGCTCAATTAAATTAAAAATCAAATTGAAATAATAACGAGCTATGAACCAAAGTAAATATTTGTTGTTAAAATATATAATTTATAATAATAATGAAATAGATGTCTAGATATCCCCCTCCCCCTCTATCAAATCATTTTCAATATTAGACAAGTCATTTTACATGATACATAATACAAATATTGAATGGCAGTTCGAAATATAAAAATTCGTTATGCACCATCCAAAATGACTTGTCTCTAATATCCTAACATTGAAAATGATCTGATAAAGATCGAAATATCCATTTTATTGTTTATTAATCACTATTTATCAATCATAATATAAATTTTAACAATAAATATCTAATGGCCCATCATTATTTCAATTATATATATAATGTATATAAATTTTGTAAATTGAAAGGAATACCTCAACAAATGTTACAATTTCTATGGCATCACGACTGTTAAGCTTATAATAAATTATAAATTATATCGAGCGAACTAGATGTTATTTTCGTTTAAACTCGTCCATTTGTCATAGCACAACCAGGGAAACTAAATAGGTTGTGAGTGAAGAAAAGAATACGTCTCGTGATAAATTTCCTCTGCAACTTTGACGCATGTCCTCAGACTATCTGGTCGCGTTAGCCGGGGCATCATGTGGCCTCGTACTTGAAAAGCGGTATTTTTCAAAAGATGAATACAAAATCATTCCGGTTGCCAGAAGCGACCAACGCATTTAGATAGCTCACCTAGCATCCTAGTTTAACGGCGTCTCGACAGCTGGGCGTCGTGTCGACCTAGCCTTCCGACGGCGTCGGCCGTCATTTATTATTCGATATGAAAAGGCGAGCCGTTGAGACGCATTGAAATTTTTCGCGAGTCATTAGGAAGAGAAAAGAAACGGTGGATTTCGATCCCCGAGAGACGCGAAGGACGCGTCGCGCATTTGAATATCGTAATTTCTATCTCAAGGTCTGTCACAGTTATAAAGAGAATCATTCCCTATCGGTTATCTGTCGATTCGAAAACATGAGAAATGCATTAAAAGTTAAATGGTAATCAACGATCACGACAGTTCTGATTTATCCACCATCTTGTATACAAATTTATAAAATAATGAATAAACTCACCATACGCCAAAAATATCGATTTCTCTTCGTGGCTCAGATCTGCAATAAAATAATAATGGTTAGAACATTGTAAAAGTGCATATAAAAAATTTTAATAAACATCCCCTAATCAGAGATTGGCCATAAGAAGATCACTTTTGATTGATGGTCCAACATGTTTTGATAATTTGCAATAGTTGGAGCAAGATATATACATGCATCTTTTTCTCTCTTTTCCACAGAATTTTGCAGAACATGAACGACTTTTATTTCCAATCTCTCTGAATAGAGAATCTTTAAATTAAAAATGTTACAATAATCATTCATTAAATTTCTACGGAACTGTGTAAAAATATAAAATCAGCCATAGGAAAACATATCTATTGAAGCTAGCCTTGAGAATAAAGGTGATAATATCTCGTCCATTTTCTCCCATCAAAATCAATAGGCAGAGGCGAGATGAAACTCAGGCAGAAAGGGAGAAAAAGCGATCGTCACCGACGCAACCACCTGCCGGCCTTTCCGCCAGTCTTCAGGATTTCAGCCCAGTAATTGCTGCAGCAATTACCGCGAATTACGGCGATAATTACCGTCATTATGCGGTGCAGTAATTTTGGTAATTACTATAGTAAATCGCCAACTATCCGATTGCAACTCGTCGCTCCTCATCTTGCGGTCAGTACCGGATAACTTTTAAGTTATCCCATCCATGACCAGCTACGTTAGTCACAAGTCAAATCAAATTTCCATTCGTAATATTAGAAAACTGAGGGAAGGGTACGTTCGAGACGTAGCACAGCGGTCAATCGCAACGCTAAATTGCAAAATGATATAATTCAGAATGTACCGTGCTTAAATACACACTTTAAAAGTCGACCCTCGAGATATTATCCCTCGAGATTAAGAGCAACGGTAAGCTATGTCGCAAAATAAAAAGAGCGTTAATTAAGCGATGAATAAGCTAGCGTGTTTTTCTTTTGCACATTATTCGCGTAAAGAGTCAGAATTTTACAGAAATAAGTGGCACACGCCGGTTCAAAATTAATTCACGGAAATGAGATCTTTCGGAGTTATTAACCGCCCTCTGTATTTTCACAATCAGCGAGAATTCGGTTTAACAATGAAACGGCGCTACTCATTTCGGCTTGATAATGAAATGAAAATAGGTAGGAGCGCACGCGCGAGGGAGTAAAAGTTCTAAAATATTACCTCGTAAAAAAGTTTACGACGATTTAATTTACCGTTTCCTTCTTCTTATTTTTAAGATAAACTTATTAACGTTATATGAATGGTAATAATAGTAGATATTTATATGAGTAGAGAATCTTAATAATGAAAATTTAAAGCAAGAGCAGAGAATTAAAAAAATCCCCTGCAATTACGTGCAATGCTTTTCGAAGAGAAATGTAAGTTACATATATTTCGATTTATAGCCAGAAGTTGTAAAGAAATATCGGTAACGACGAGTCAAGTGTGAACTATGATTTCTTTCTATATACGATATATGCGATCGGAACGATCGTCTGTCTACTCGTTCCCGTAGCTCTATTTCGATATTCGAGACACGAAGTTATTTAATGTGCTGCGAGAACGACGGCTGCTGCTGTAAGAGGTATTACGGCAGTTGCAACAGTAACGACAGAAACCATATACCACGGCTATTCGAGCCAACTTTGCGCTTTGTCGGTATGAGTCACCTTTCATCTATTTCGAGACTCGTAGAACAATATGTCCCATTTCCCAATGTTTGCCGTCGTTCGAAAAACGCGAAATGTATTAATCAATAAAGCACGATAAAAATTTCATCAATTTCAATTTCATCACACCTTGTTAGTAATATTTTTAAAATAATGCGTCAAGTCGCGATTAAAGCATTCTAAGCGTAGTAACATTTTTATCGTTGTCGCCGATCGGAACGTCGAATTTGATGTGACGATCGTTTAGCCGGAATGTTTGCCCGAACACAACCGAGCGATGCAACCGAGCGATACAGCCAGTGCATTTGAAATGATTACCGGTACAGTGCATCGCCGCATTGAATGGCATGAATTGTTAGCAGCTATTTGCAAATTTATGAACCACTCAGCCAGTGACAATTCGCGCACAGACAGCGTTCGTCCCACGCCTTCGTGTCCTTCCGCGACAAAGATAAATATTCAAAAAACTTTGTATCAGCGACATGGGAATAGTAAATAGACAATACAATGTCTGTGATATCTCAATATTTTAATCGCAATGCATATAAATAAAATCGTTCGTTTATAAATGTTCATAATGTTTTCTAGTCTGAATATTCGAGTCTAAAAAACTCCGCATTAATTATATGGAAAATTTCGGTAAATTTCGATGAAATGAGTTAGTTTAATGCATTTTTATAATGTCATGTGAATACAAAAATGTTCAATAATGAATAATTTAAACTATCAAATGTGGTCTATAAATACAAATTTTACACCTTTGATATACCATACTTCAAGAATTATTCATTATGGAGCCTTGTATTTTGATATAATATTTTTTATTCACTACACTGTTAGACATTAAAGAAGTAATGGCAATTTCTTGAATTAAATCTAATCTCTTAAGTTAAACATTTTATTATTTTTAATTTTCACCTGTGTTCAAAATGTAAATCAATCCTTTCAGTGCTTAGTTTCCAAACAAACAATGTCACGACGTATGCACTTAATAAAATAAATTTAATAGTTTCTTGCTAAATTGTTTAACTTCATTGTTTTAGTTAAATTAACACATATCGTTATTAGAAATAGTTATTAGGTAACCTATAGAAATAATTAAAGATCAAATACGGTATGATTTAACATTATAAATTTAACAGTGTATATATAAACTACATTATGTGTGAAAGCTAAATTATTTCACCGAAACCTAATATGATTCCATGTAGGCAGAGTCCTTTACATCTTTGATCTTCGAATGATGATAGTTAAAAATAATTTGAAAGATCACGTCGGGCTTCGTAAGAAATAATATTCAAATTATGAGTATGTCAAAATTGATCGCGTTGTCTCAAAAGTTAACTGCGAGATATTTTTTATACCTGGCACGTCCCGTTCATTCTCTCGTCGTTTCCTTACTTAAGAGAAGAGAAGAGCCGTATCTAACGACTCGCATGAGCGGACTGGCAAAAGGCTGTTCGTGGAAATACCGAAAGTTATGAAAGTTTTATGACAGGCCATGAGAGAACGTCGGAAGATGCGGAGAATGGAGAAAGATGAGGATGAAGGGGAGAGGAAGTTTCATGCTAGGTGGATGACGATAGGATCCACGGACATTTATGACGAGCCAATTTTTTCGTTTGATTATTCAACGCGCACGGATGCATCCAGGCTCTCTCGGCGATTGCATTTGACGGTCGACCGTGGTCTGAAATTTTGGGAACGGAAAAAAGCGCGACGGAAATCCGAAAAGCCTGGTGACCGCAGCCTGAAAAATATAACACTATTCTCGAAAACGACAATCTTTATCGCTGCGAGGGGAATCGACATTTCGACCGCTGGTTACGTAAATTCCTCGAGACCGCGATTTGTTATCACGTTTTGTAAAATGGATCGTCGAGAGGACTGTCACGAGGGAGGCAAGAGAGGGCAAGTCGTTCGAGAGTAAGCCGAGCGCGGGCGATAAATCAGGACTCGCACGATAATGAAATTCAATGCTTCGGGCCTGGGTGCGTCAGTCGAGTTTTATCAAAAGCACCTATTTATCTTTCTTATAAAAACAGTTTGAGAACAGTTCGCTCATAAACGGCATCGAACGGAGAGAGTGAGTCTCGTCCTCAAATCGCTCTGGCTGTCGCCACTCCGTAAAGCGAAACTGAGATTGATGGTTTTTCTTTCACCCTTGGAATTTTCCAAAAATAGTACCGACATTCATAAATTTCACAAACGTCTTTAAATGAAGATATCCCGATGTCGCACAAGAGTTCTTTTAATTATAATTTCAAGATAAATCGTTGATTCTTCTTCAATGATTATCTTGATAATCGATGAAGGAAAATCAATTTTCTCAACTTCTATTAGATATCATTAGTAATTATATGTATTACTAATTATTGAATAGAATTAAAAATGTATAGGTGGAATTCTAATTTCTTTTGTATATCATAATGTATTTTTTACTGTTTTTTGAATTATACGAAAAGAATAGAAATTTCAGATATCAAACTAAAAGCGGAATAAACAAATTTAAATAAAACGAGAGAAGTTGAAGAAATGAAAATAAAAAACTCCCGAGTGTATCATGTCGAGTGATAAAAGAGAAGCGTTAAAATTCAAATATAATAAGAACGATTTGATTTGCAACCTGGATTCTACTCATCAAATTTCCTTGTTCCCATCGTGTTCTCTATCTCGCCCATAATTCCTTATCGACTTCCTTTCCGAAATCACCATTATCCTCCATTTTCGCTGGAATACGACATGGTTAATGAAATTGAGACGTCCAGAAAGCGAAGAGAAACGAGCAACCGAACCACGGAACCGAACGATCGACGATAAGTCCTCTACAGCTCGGGAGAAACTGCGCAAGTCGCATCGTTTCGGTTTGTATATATTTGTTAGATCGAAAATACAATCGTGTGATCGCATTGTATAATCATGAGCATCGTCCATTCCGAAAGATAAATGAGACACGCGCAGCTAAAGGACAGAGTTAAAAACAGACACGTTATAAATAGATTTTGAATGTAGAGCTCTAAAATTGATCCCTCTGTCGTGTTCTCGTTTGCGCGTTACAAATTTCAACGAGCTCCGTTGAAGCACATGCAAAGAGTTACGAGCAACCGATTTGATTAGCCGAATTCACAATCCTACATGGGTTAATCTTCAAAAGGGTCGCAAGCAAGTGTACAAATTAGCGGTGACGGACCGGTCATTCAGACGTCCATCGGAATGCCGGTGTATTCCGAGTTTCTAGTGTACATATACTAGATACAACATTCAGCGATGACATCCTCTCATTGCGAGCCAACGCAACTCTCCGGAACAGGATTCTGTACTACGTATGCATCGTATTTAATCCACATTTTACGCCTCGACGATCCGCAGCGTGATTCAATTACGTCGCCGAGGGTGGAAGTTAGGGGGAAGGTTCTGTCGGGGTCGCTGCCGAGTCTTGTACACACTGAGGATGATGATACCACCCCCTTGTTTAGCATCCCCGTACCTCCATACCTTCTACATCTGCAGACTTCGCAACAAGAGGATGTTTCCGCGTGCGTTTGCGAGTAAATTAAGATTCGTTTACACTATGTTGTGACCTTAACGATTATAAATTGCAACAATGGTAGTCGCGAATCATTATATGAGAATACGCTAGAATTTTTATTGATCAAGCAACTGTTATTTTTTAAAATCACAAACATATCGATTTGATTGCTAATTCACAAGCGTGAAAATCTTTTATATAAATTTATTAACCTTCTCGGTATTTCCCTTTCCTTTTTCTCTTCCTTTCCCTTCCCTTTTCTTTTATTGCTTATAACCGTTTTATTTATAAAGATACATACATTTGCTTGGCATCATTATATTCTTTAATATCTACACTCTAAAAAATATCGGTGTGGATTTAATCTCTTAATGTGAATTTAACACTCATGCGGTATCTATATATTTGATGTCAATATTAATTAATTTGGTATTAATATTAATCAAGACACATGATGTTAAATCCACATCATACTGGTGTTAATATTAACAGCAACATAGTGAGAATTATATAGATATAGAGGTTATTTTTTATAGCGTAGTGTTTCAATTGAAAAAAATTTTTTTACAATATATTCACTTTTATAAAAGTTATAAACAATTAAATTGAATGGATATGCCATATCAAAAAAGCATACCCATCCAATTTGATTGCTTATAACTTTTTAAGGATTAAAGTGCAAAGTAAAAAGCTGTAACAATAAATTAATAACACTTACTAAAGTAGCTTTTAGTTTGTGCGATTCTCTTTTTTTCTGCGAAATAAAATTTTACGATGCTTATTATATTTTTATGATTTGAATTAATTTTTACGTGGTCGCATATTATATGCATACGTCGCACACATTTTCTCGCGGAGGATCGCGCAAAAACAGAGTAAACTTTGCCTCTCGAGGGACAGAGACGCAGTGTGTGATGCGGTAAGAGATTTACGTAAAAGTGTACTGTGAAACATGCAATTTGATGCACGCTAGTGGATCACGGCGCAGTGAAAAGAAGGTAGCAGCTCCTGCCGACTCCTGAACGTAGCATCCCCCGTGAAAATTTGACAACGTGGTGGCGGAAATTAATTTCCGCAAAGGCGGTGTTAATGCCGGCTGTACTGGGAGTATTATCGCTAGGATCCGCCGTGATCCGACTTAGGGCGAGACGCGTGCTACGGGCTTGCCTTTACACGTACGACCGTACGTAATTGTTCAGAAAGATGCGACAGCACGCGTCGTTGACGCACGAAAATTGAACAACTGCGAGGTCTAATGTAGCCATTATTCAACGCTCGTACAGCGAAGACGCATAAACGTAAAGGACTTCCACGAGTAGGAAAACCAGTAACGTGAACTTATAGTTTTGCAAATGTAAAAACGCGATTTTCATGAATAAAGTTTGCGCCAAGAGAGACTGGAGAAAATTGTAATATTATTAAATTATTCATAACAATTTATACCGTTTTAATATGCGCATATATTTAGTAGCCGTTTAATATTTTAATTATCCGTGATACGGATACACAAATTATTTATTAATCATATTAATAAATATAAGATTGGAATAATATCGTGAACTGTATA